TTGTCAATGCTTCCCTTATCTTCGTCCATACAATCATCACAAAATTGAATTCCGGTCCACTCCCTGCGTTTTTCTTGGTTACAACACCGTTCACCACGGCTATCACTGTTTTGACCCGTCTAATGACCGGATTTATATTGCCCGACATGTTCGCTTCAACGAACATGTGTTTCCCTACCAGCCTTCACCAACCCCACCACCACCATCCACTCCTCCTTACATCTCTATATTTCCTAACCCACCACCCGGTTTCCCACCCGAGCCTCCACAATCGCCTCCACCACCACCCCCTCCTCAATCTCCTCCTCACGAACCTCCCCAATCGTCTCCACAATCTTCACCATCACCACCTATTCCACCTCCTTCTGATGCCTCCCCGCCCGAACTTACCCATACTCCACCCGTCTCTCGACCTCGGCCTTCCAACCTTCGCCCCAATCCCAAACAACCTTACCGATATAACCCAGCCGCTTACTCTGCCACCGCTTCCTCACCTCTACCTCTTGAACCCACCAGTTTTACCGTTGCCAACAAGTCTTTAGAATGGCGCCAAGCAATGGCTAATGAGTTGGTTGCGCTTCATAGGAATGGCACGTGGACACTTGTTCCCCCTGTTCCTAATGCTAATGTTGTTAATTGTAAATGGGTTTACCGGTTAAAAACTGATGAAAATGGAAAGATTACAAGGTACAAAGCCCGCCTTGTGGCCAAAGATTTTCACCAACAGCATGGCGTGGATTATCATGAGACTTTCAGCCCCGTAATCAAGCCTGTCACTATCCGCACTGTCCTGTCTCTTGCTGTCACCAACAAATGGCCTCTCAGACAGTTGGACATTCAGACCGCATTTCTGCATGGTGATCTCAAGGAAACTGTTTTCATGCGTCAACCTCCTGGCTTCATTGATCAAACCAAACCTGATCATATATGCTTGTTACACAAGTCGTTGTATGGGCTCAAACAAGCCCCTCGTGCCTGGTTCATAAAACTGTCTACTGATCTTCAACAGTTGGGTTTTTATGGGTCCAAAACCGACCCCTCCCTTTTTATTCTCAAATCTCCAGGCTCTCTTATCTACCTTCTGGTATATGTTGATGACATCATCATCACCRGTAACAACTCCACTGCTATCGCCACTGTCGTTGACCAGCTCCATACTCTCTTTGCTCTTAAAGATATGGGGCAGCTACATTATTTTTTGGGGGTCGAAGTTGTTCACAAGGGGGCAGACTTAGTTCTCTCACAACGGAAATATGTTTGTGAGATCTTACACCGTGCTGGCCTTGCAGACTGYAAACCRATTGCTACTCCAATRAGMACCTSTCAAGTRTTGTTACCRGATGATAGCCCATTWMTCRATGATCCCTCTCGCTATAGRCARACCGTCGGGGCTCTTCAGTATGCTACCCTTTYTCGTCCTGATATYGCCTTTGCAGTYAATAAAGTTTGCCAGTTCATGCATGCTCCGACTGAAAATCATTGGGCCGGAGTAAAACGGATCTTACGTTACCTCAAGGGCACCATCAATCTGGGTTTGTGGATTCGTCACAACACGGGCTATCAGCTTCAAGCCTTTTCTAATTCTCATTGGAACCAAAATCTTCAAGCTTACTCAGACTCTGACTGGGCTGGTTGCCCAATCGATCGTTGATCCACGGGGGGATATGCTATCTACTTAGGCTCGAATCTTATTTCTTGGTCTGCTCGCAAGCAGAAAACTGTCTCTCGATCTTCAACAGAGTCCGAGTATAAGGCCATTGCAGATACTGTTGCTGAGTTGATTTGGTTGAAGTCTTCTTCAGGAACTTGGATTAAATAGCAAGGCTCCTACTCTTTGGTGTGATAATCTTAGCGCAACATATCTCACAGCTAATCCTGTCTTTCATGCTCGTACCAAGCATGTTGAAGTAGACTATAACTTTGTTCGTGAACAAGTTACTCAAGGGAAACTAATTGTCAAGTTCATCTCTACAGACGACCAAATTGCTGATATTTTTACAAACCCTTGCCTTCTCAGAAGTTTGAGTTTCTACGGTCCAAGTTGCAGATTGCTAACCGCGCTGAACTTGCGGGGGAATGTTAGACTAAGTCAACTAGTCTAGTTTATATTATTAATATTGTCTAGGGTCCAAAGTGTAGTTAGTTTTACCTATATAAGGTGTATCAGATTATTATTTTTCAATCAATACAATCAATATCAAGTTTTATATGCACCTATTCCTTGTCCCCTTTTGATAGATGTTTTTGCCTCAAGGTCTAGGTAGGGGAAATGTACGGGGTGAGCAACATAGGATACCTCTCATAGGGCACACAAAATCTTCCATTACATGATTAGTAGGATTACATATGTTATTCCTAGCACAACCAGGGTATCTCTCAAAAGACCTCACTAAGGTTAGGATGGATTACAACAATTAACAATCTTCACCAAAAAGGGGGGATGGAACACTCCAAAATGAGCTTGAGAAAAGTAGATGATCTCAAGCTCCCTCACTCTATGTGGCTTCCTTTCTTTCTCATTCTCTTGGTGATGTGTATACCAAACCCCCTCATGAACTCTATTTAAAGGGGGTTTTAATGGTGTATTAATTGTCCAATTAAACGGTATAGCAAACACCACATAAAATGGTGTATTAAACACCTTATTAAACGGTGTAATACACCCTCTTAAATAGTATATTTATTAGGAACCCACCAAATAATTAGGAATGCCCAACGAAAGTGGTACATGTAATGTCATTACTATCATAACTGATGAAATAGAAAACACAAAAAGAAAATTCCAAAATAAGAATATATATCTATGCCCCCAAGGTCCCTTTTGTTGTATATTACAAACTCTAGATGCTCCCCTTGCTAAGCACACTTAACCTTCTCATATAATATGTTTATTCTAAATAGCAATTTCAAAATCCTTTGTAGTTCCAACATAGAAGGGAAACAAACTTTCTGTTAGGCCTTCCAATCACTGTTAAGAAGCCAAAAAATAATCAAGTATAAATTCGGATAGCATTAATTCTTAAAGATAGATTCATACATATTCATGTATAACTTATAGCAAGCTCAAGATTGATGCTTGGAATATAATTGAAAAAAGATAGCATGTGAATCTTATGATGGTGAATCAAACAGAAGAAAACTAGTTAAAACATCATTATGATATAACCACAATAAGCCTACCACAAGAATGCAGCAAAGTAAAGTTTTACGACAGTTCACCAAAAAGCAGAGAAATTAAAGTATTTCTTTTAAATGAGATATATTAATTTATTCCACAAACCGTACGGATATCCTTCTGAGTTCGAGCAGCATAGTTCTTATCCAGCTTGGGTAATGTCTGCTTTAGTTGTTGTACCTACCAATTATTAAGGAGTCAAACATGAGATGCTACCTCATCAACAACCAAAGAATTTAACAGCCATGAAGATGGCTTTTGCATTTGCGAACAAGAAGCGCATACAAGTACATTTGATGTTGCAAGTGATTATATAAAGAACATTTGTTTTCATGCAGTAATATATTCAGTAGAGAAACATATCCACACCCAAAAGGAAATATTAATCCCATGTTGAATATATACATTTATGGTTATCAGATAAGCTTTCGGCAAACCTACTTGCCATTTAGATTTGACTAGGGACCCAAATTATCTACTATGATAATATAAAAAAAAAAAAGGTCAGCCTACGACCTAGTCTTGTCCACCGTATTTTCTTCACCTGTTAGTAGGGGTTGTTGTGTCCAGAGTACAACCAAGGACAGTTACAGGGAATTCTACTGAAAACTTAGATACGAGCAAGAAACATTAGTTTCAGAACATTATTGAAAATAGCCATGTTTAACATCCATTGCCATGTTTTTATGGAAGTGTTGTGCCTACTATCTTGAATTCTTTATGAGCAATAGAAAATAACATTATCCTATGCTATGCCATGACTATAATATTTTGCTACCTCAAGCCATGGAAGTGGAAACAAGCAAGTGAATGTCATGAGGAACAATGTAGAGGAAAAAGAGGAAGGGAAGATCAAGGATTCAACAAGGTGAGTATGTGTCTTGCACAAGAAAGTGCTCATAAGGGTTATGTGCTTGGGATTTGTGAAGGATCAAGAGCAAATAGAGGAGCTCAGTAGGCAGAAGAAAGGTGTAGACATGCCCATACGAGGAGTTCATGAACACAAAACTTAAGATTCTAGCAGTCAAGAATGTCTAAATTTCGTTTTCCTTCTTTTCTTGATCTACAAAAATAAAATGGTAGGATTAAAAGTTTATGGAACATCACAAACACAAAGGGATTCACTGAATGCACTTATCCGTTGAATTGTTAAAGCACAAAAACAATCAAGCAAATAGAGATAGCAATAGTCAATAACATTGAACCTTGGTACCAGATAAAAGAACTTAGAAAAACAATAAGCAATAACATATAACGAATGACCATTTAATTTTTCTTAATTTTTTTTCGTTAATGTAATTAATTAATAGATTTTTAGGACCTTATAATATACTAAATTCTCTTTGGCTCTTATTTTATACTAAATCTTTTTGGGTCTCTTTTATGTAGTAAATTTATGTGCACTATTGTTATATACTATAAAAAATTGGGCCTGGGCCCTAAGCAATCGCCTGTTCCACCCTCTTGCAAGGACGGCCCTGCCCACATCTAAGGATCCAAAGGTGACAAGAAGATCAAAAACAGAGAGGGAAGTAAAGAGAGGATGCATATCCTTGTACGTCGACGATATTGCTTCATCAAACGAGAAGAATAATACCAATAAATTTGATCATGCAAGTATGGATTCCCCAAAAAAATGAAGATCGAATTTGATGATGGTGGTCTAATGGTCGTCCTCCACTTGATGGAACCACATGCTAGTGCAGTTAGCGGTAGCAGCGGCGACAGCAAGGGTGGTAGCAGCGGCAGCAATGGCAGGGGTGGTAGCAGCAGCGGCAGCAGTTTAATGACCATCATCCAACCCAACTCTGTCTAACGTCGTCAACGTTGTAGAATTAACTGGATGGTTAAAGTTAGATCTCTAGCTTTCGAGAGGCCAGTCTCTCCACACACTCGCATCCAAAGTTTTATAAAGTAGAATAAGCGTTCCCGCTCCTCAGCCCACTTTATTAATACTAAACCCAAAGCATTACCTACTTGTACCATTTACGCATTAACCACTTGTACTCACATTAGCATAGGGCATAACAATCTGCTTTATTGCAAATGAAATGTCCATTCTTCTAGTGAACGTTATCAGAGTCTTTGACCAGGTATAATCGATTTTTGTTGTGCTTTACATTTTACGGTTGGTATGGGGACTAGCAAGTCCTTATCTTTTCCTCGATCCATAATTGGGGAGATGTCATGGTCTCCAAGAATACTGGCACTTTGCATGCACAAAGTCACCATTCCCAAAATTTTCGTCAATGGCTATTCTAAGGCATCACTTAGGATGTAGAACTAGATGTGGTGCTCCCACAAAAAAGGAATAGAACATAATCACATACTGTAAAGACCATAGACAATTGATATTTTTAAGTGGAACCTGAAACATAAATACACAAAAAGCTCTTGCAATTCTAGTAGAAGTACATCTAAATTCTAGCACACAATATTGGGATACTTGAACCAAACAAAAACAATAATCTATTTCAGAAGTTACTTCATATCAAACATTCACTCATCGAGAAAAGCTAGAGATGAAGACTACCTTATAGTACATCCAAGCTACAACCTTTGAGTCATTTAGTCTAAAAAACTTTGTGGATCCAATCTCTGCTACATTGTAACAAAAAAAGAATATGAACAAATGAATAAAAATTTCATGGCCGTCTAAAAGTGAAAAGAATTGAGTTTTGATGCAAGATTGAAAGTATAGTACATAAATCGGACGAATGCCATTTCAATATGCAAATTTATCGGACTTAGAGGCTTTTTAATAAACGCTTACCCACGTAAGCGCTTGCCAAGTGTCACTTACCTTCCGAATGAACATTGCAAGGACCTAGAATCTTACCCGGTAAGAAGCATAGCAATGACCACAAATCTTACCCAGTAAGTGAGTGAGAAGACTTGTCTGGTAAGTGCTTACAGGGTAACTAACGCTTACCAACAATCCGTTTTGATGGCCGATAATGTTGCCCGATAAGTGATGGTGGTGATCTTGCTAGTAAGCGCTTACCCTATAAGCGTTTGGTAAACGGCCCCTTATACCAACTCACTCGCTTGTGGCATGCAAGTAAGAAGTTACTTTGAAAAACGAAACTAATAATTTGGTCAACAATCAACCATCTTAACTTCAGTATCAGAATGCTAATTGTCAACAAACTCCATACTACATGCTTTATATAAACTGCCCAGAAAACCAGAGGGACGGAATTACCTTTACAATCACAAACAACTTCCATAGACTTCTCTGCAATCGATGATAAATGATGATACCCAGGATAGTTGTGAACGTAAATGATCTCATCAAGTTGCCTAAATTTCCCTGGATCATCTCCATTCTGCAGTCATTGCATCAAGCATACCATTCCAAATACAAAAATTAAATGAGAGGTTCGAGTATTCAAAACATTGATGGTGAATAAATATGGAATTGTAGTAGCCCAAGCTCCTCAGCAAGTGTTATAGTTGGCAACAATTCACAGAGTTAGAACATTCAAAAAAAGAAATAAAAAAGCCAAGCTGGTGTGCCTTCCAAAGGTAAAACTGCAGATATTCTCCATATTTGAGTCAGAAGAAACAACACACAAAGAAAGAAAACGAACTTCCCATCTGTTTATAATAAAATAACTAACAATATAAAGACTTGATTTGGTATATTAGCATTCCCATTGTTATGTCCAAGAGAATACACCAAAAATACTATTAAAGATACCCCCTTACCATTCCTATTACTTTTTAGATTAACATACCTTCATTCGAGCTTCATCAAACATTGGCAATAGAATGAAAACAGGATCAACTGGAGTAGCAAGGTACAAACCACCATCTGCTGACATGTAAACATGTTCTTAAGGAAGATGACGATTTACATTGATCCTATTAAGAAAAATACAACTACGAAACATACTCAATCCGTTCCACAAAGTGATATTGACTTTGATTAATGATACATGTTAGTTTTAAAATGATCATTGATTTATGTTCAAAACTTTCTATAAAACTGTCGGTAACATATAATTTAACAGCTAGCACAAACAGAAAAAATGTCGGTGAAAGATTAGTAACAAAATCCACATTAATATAGGTTTGAAGACAAAAAGGTCCAATGTTTCTCTTTTTTGCAGGAGGGAGCATGTATTCAAGATGTCATGCAGATGATTTACTAGATGCTAAAACATTGACTTCTATGACAAGAGTACCCCATCCTTACACACAACACTAACAGTTTCCCCAACCTTAACAATTATGCTAGATGCTAGCGTATATAGTAACTGTCCTAATTTTTGCTATCATCCTATTGAATAAACAATGATGCATTCATTTCTGAACAATAAAACATATTTGCAGTTAATATCAAGAAACAAAAACTAGATTGGATAAAGCATCAGCTCTGGAAGCTGATACGCCGATGGTTGGAAGGGAAGGCAAGTGCCCTGGCATCCAAAGACTGGTTTTGGTGTTAAATAAGTAGCAGAAAAGGAAGCTTCTGCTTTAGGTCAGCTCTTTAGCTCCTTGCTATAAAGAGTGAAGTGACCTTCATGAGAGAAGAAAATCGGTAATAATAGGACCAGAAACTCTGGGTTTGGCTACATAGCTGAAAAGATGGTGCCAACTCAGTCCTTAGCAGCAAGCCACTTTTTTAGTCACAGATCATTGTGATTGTGTAGTCGAGGCAAGGAACAGTGCTAGAGGACACAACAATTCTACCCTGCCTTTTTACTCTTTCACATTCCCATTAATGCCTTTTCATCCTCATCATTATTCTCTTCAGAAACTCATTCTCAAATATCAAGGTGCTGTGGAATGAGAAACCGTGATAGCTTACGCATCAACACATTGCATATCCTACGTTCCATGATTCAAAACGAGAGAGATCGAAGATGACATAACACATCACATAAAGACGGGATGGCTGAAGTGGAGTTGACTCAGGGAAGTTGTGTGACAAGAAAGTCATGCTAAAACTGAAAGACGAATTTATAAGGTAGCCCATCAGACCAACTATGTTGTATGGGTCCGAGTGTTGGGCTACAAGGACAGCCCATGGAAGAAAGTTGGAAGTTGCAGAAATGGGAATGTTTAGATGGACACGTGGTCAGTCCATGTGGGGACATGTGGCCGGTCCATGTTGGACAGGATACCAAGCAATAGAGGTGTTCACCCAAATAAACTGCCCACAACACACCGTACCACACCATGGTTTAGAACTTTTGCAGTGCGGTTTGCTGTTTTGAATTATTAAACTGTGGTTCAACCCGTGCCACACAATATAATCTTTGTATTTATTTGTGTGTGTGTGTATATATATGTATGTATGTGTGTATGTATATACACATTAATATTAACTAATTGAAAATATTAATACATATTAATTATCATTACTTTTCCAGTTTTCCTTTTTAATTATGAATTTGGGACGTATAGGAACTTTCAATTGTATGAACAAGCAATCATCATTGTTCCAATAACCGGTGGAGGATGCGCCTTGAGGCAAGGCAACCAAAAACTGTGTATCAGGCGTCGCCTCTCACTACTTCGATGGATCTTACGCCTTTTGCGAGTGAGGCATTGTGTGAGTCGCTGAGCAGTGAGGAAGGCAAGAGGCATACACCTCTATGTTGGGCCTTGTGGATGTATCTTATTATTATTTAGATATAAAGCGGAGGTATCTAATCATTATTTAAATAAATATTGGGGTATACTATCACTATTTATATAGATAGTGAGGCATCTTATAACTATTTAAATAGATAATGGGTGTATCTTATCACTATTTAAATATATTATGGTAGTATCTTATATTTGTTTACAATATTATAAACAAAACAATGGCTTTTCCCTTCAAAGACTTCATGTCTCCTTTATAAATACATAGGCTTTAGAAACCTTTTTCATATATTATCAGCTAACACATAATTGTTCCACCAAAACAATAAAAGATTTTCACAATTTTCCGTATAGGATAATTATCTTTTTTGAATAAAGAACTATTTCATAATTTGTAGCCTGAGAAATAACAAAGTTCATATATCATATACTCATGTAGTCATGTTCAAAGCCTTATGACATATAGCATATTAGCATTTTACAGGGTGTAACATCACTTCCTCACCTTCTACGATATCCCTTCAATAATCAATACAAGTTTGTCTTCTGTTTGTATGCAAACCATTGGTGATTCATGAGTTATGGGTTTCATACTAGTACTTATAGTAGTTATGGATTTCATTTTTTGGTTATTTGGTATAGAAAGATGGAAATATGTTTCTCTTAAGTGTTATGGATTTTTTTTGTTTTATATTTGAAACTTAAACCTCAAGTACCTAGGGGAAAACGCCTTGGTCATCATGAAATTTATTTTGAAGTTATGATTTTAATTTTAAGAAAATTGAAGTGCATTAGGTACAAACTGCATAAACCATGCCGCATTTCACAGTGTTATTTTGTGGTTTGAGGCATATGCAGTTCAATTTGCAGATTAGCCCTAAATTACACCATACACATCCAAACACCCCTACCGAACAAGGTCTTCCGGGCAGAGCTGGGAATTGAGCCTATCACAGATAAATTGATGGAGGGAAGACTGCAGTGCTTTGGACATATTCACAAGACAGAGACGAGGCTCCAATAGAGAGGGTGGAAAGGGTGACGATCAAGGGGCGAGGATGAAGGGGAGACCTAGACGGTGAGGATGAGGGGCAGACCGGGGGGGAAGATGGTTAAGAGACTGAGGATAGATATGGCGAGTTTATGAAAATCCAAGGACATGATATCGACCATTGATAGAAGTGCTTGGTGGTGTAAGACAAGGTAGCGAACGAGGGATGACAACATGTAATTAGCTTAGACAGAAGGAAGGGAGATGGAGAGGCAAAAGGTTGGGGTGGTAGGGTTAGGGAGTTGGCAGTTAGATTATCGGTGTCCTAAGTTAGATTGAGAGTTGTATAGCTTTGTTTCCTTGTAGCCTCTATTTTTGTGGTCTTGTTTGCTTTAATTAGGGTTCCTTCTTTCAATTTTTCAATGTGTATTTCTTTCTAATATGTAATTCTTCATACTTTATTGGTGATCTTTCTTTTTTGCTCGCATTTTCCAAAAGCCCCAGATCTTCACGAGAACCACCACTTTACTCCCTCGAGTAGTGGTCAGGGTTTAAGAGTCAAACGTTCTACCACTTCAAAACTTGAGATGAATATTTACATTAAGTTTGACAACTATTTTAAGTACATATGAGATACTACAAATACAGACAAAGCCTTCCGGTGACCATAACCAAAACTATGCTTCTGCCTTTTTACTAAACTAATACCACCAATATAGAAATTGATGCAAAACCATAAAAGTGCATGCATCATTTTTGAACATGTGAAGTTCTAATTTTAACATTCAAAATTCAATATGAACTTTTTTCAGAATGACAGAAGGAAGAGTAATACAGATTATACGGAACGGTGGCTAAAGCACAACTAATTGTTTATATGTAATCGAAAATAATGACACCAGGTAATTGCTTGAAGCATTCTCTTTTAAAACAGTTGTAAAGCATTAACAAAAAATATGGTGAATTTGACAGAGGGGCCTAAAACTCAAAAAGTTACTTCCCAGACGCATTCCAAAATCACAGATAGCAAACAGAATTTACAGCTGCAAGAAAAGAAAAAAAGTGATAGTTCTCATGGTAACAAGACCAACCTAAGATGTCACATAGTGAACTTTTCCTGCCTTAGTGACATCATGCAGCTAAGACGTCCAGACATCTAGATCTTTACAAGATAAATATCAAACACTTGGAAAGGAATCAAGCAAAAGGAAGCTAAATATCTAACCGCTGACATGCCTAATTTGATTCTTGTGTACTTCCGCACATTCAAATTGCATGATACTTGTATTAAATGACTTGAAATTCTCTGTGCTTGTGCATCAAGAATCTGTTTGTTAAGTTTCTTGTCATTGTAAGATCAAGAAAGTATATGAAAAGTAGGTGGAGAGATGAAAACATAGAAGCCATAGATGATACATCTGCAAGCCAAACCCAAGGCCATGAGTGTATTTATGCATTACTTGCATCTAGATGTCTCAGTCTGTTTTTCGATACAAAATGTTAAGAGCTATGAACAATAACTGTCCATATCCCATCAAGGCACACCCAAGTAGTATTTTAGATTTTTTTTCGAAATAAACATACAGATGGAAACGTCATATAAACTTATGCAGGCCTGACTTCAGTTAAGTTATCAACCATTATCTACCACCAAATGATTTTGATGTGAAACACAGTTCTTGTGATGTCAGAATTCATGATTTTACCTTCACAGATATAATCTCCCAAGAACCAAGACCCATAAGATTGTTTGAACCAGTTAAGTTCTTGAAGGCCTCCATTAATCAGTAGGTAGCATGTAGTGTCTCCTGTCAGCAGAGAAAATAATGTCATTACTTAATTACCACAAAAGCCATCATACTCTAGTGGTTCCACGGATTTGACTGGTTTATTTTTGTAGCTAGTTTGACGAATAGGCATTTCATTCACCAATTCGACCTTCCATTCAACTGAATGAACAGACAGCTGACATGGCTACCAAAGTAGGTTTAGGGAAGAAGTTAAGGAAGCAAGCACAAAGAACACAGTTTTTATTCATTATGATCATCATCAGCTACTCCAGGTACAACCATTTGTGGTCACCACTATTAGTCATCGTTGCCACCTTTGCCAACCCACTTTCCACCACCTCCACCCCTGAATGCGACCAATAAGACCCATAACTGGTTTTTATAATATGAGAAGTGATTCTTGTGATGTTAATGTTGAAGAATCAATTTCACGGGTTTCTTCTCTTTTATACGTTTAATATTGACATAGGTGCATACTAGGATTCAAAATAAGCAACAAAGCACATGAAGAGCACGTGGGAGAGAATTGAACAGATTGTTAACTGATAAAAGAAAAAAAGAAAACATCAACACACAAATGCTTAGAAGACAAAACTTCTAGGTTTATTCTCCAGGCACATGTGTAAGAGAAATAGTAGACAAGATTATCTCAACCCCTTTTCTGTTTTCAAATTTTCTTTTTAAAGATATTAATATTTGGCTCCTTAACATGTTCAAGAGAAGTTGTCGTGTTGTTTTTCCAAAAGCCTAGTTGCTTTCTAAAGCCACCACACATGCCTCGCAGACTTTCTGTTCATTTAATACAGAAGGTGTACTTGAACAAAATTCGGAGCAGTTGAGGAACTTTCTGAAAAGATCAGGACAATCAATCCTGATTTTATCCTGATTTTATCCTGAACCCTTCTACATTCACAGTGTAGGCGATTCACATGTATTTTAACCATAGCAGTTCCTGTTGGGCATTGAATAACCACAGTCAGCAACACTTGTCCTTCTATAAATGTTGGCAAACATATAAAACTAACATGTAGATAGAGTCCCCTCTCACACACTGTCATTCATGAAAATTACCCACCTGTCCATCTACAGATAATCAGCCTCTATAAATGTGGGCAAGCATATAAAACTAACTTGTAAATAGTCCCCTCTCACACAGTGTCATTCATGAAAATTACCCACCTGTCCATCTACAGGTAATCAGCCAGTGGGGGAAACACTGTTTGCACAAGGCTGCTAACATATAATCTTTGTATCCATGCTCATCCTCAAAAAGGAAAGAGAAAATAAGGTGACCCTCGAAGTTGGCCATGTCATATTCATTTTCAACAGTGATATCCATACTTGTCATAGAGAACTGGTTTCTTATATTCTTTTATCTGAAAATCCATGTCAGCAAAGGGTTCTCAATGTTGCCAAAAAATCTTGAAGACCCCTAAAGCAAAAAAGAGGGATACACCAAAAGAGAAAAAAAAACATTACAAATGAAGGAAAAAACAAATTTTCCTTATTTCTACACCCACTTAGGGTGGAATGGATGCACACTTGTACAGATCTTTGGCAATCATCTTCCATCTAATTGGTAATTTCATGAAACAATGTATGAGAGAGACAGAAAAATTGGCACCACTTGTTTACTATTCATTTGTTTAAGAGAGAGTTTGACAAACTTGCGGCTATAAATAAAAGGTTGGTTTTTGAAGATTGGAAATTTGGAATGCATGATAACACACGTCATATCAGAACACACGCACATAATTACATTGCTAACTGCATACTTCCACAGCCTAGTGAAACAAACTCTCATCAATCATCAACCGATTGCAGAAATCATATAATGAAGTTTAGCATGCATATAGTAAGCACTTTGGAGTTTAGAAATTAACAAATAAAGATGATAAATGGTAGTGAGTGAAGCTCATAAAAGAATCTGTAAAGCATATAAACTACCAGATTTTGGATGGTGAAGTGACAGCAAGCGTCCCATATCATCTCCAGTAGCAGAAGGATCTGCATTAATCATGTTAGGACATCATTAATTCTGAATTGGTGGATTGACAATATGTCTAATGGTCCATTAAGATACTCCAATGTAATCATTAATCAACAATATATGCCATCGTTTGAATATAATCTACTAGAGCACAATTCCCATAACTGTCAGCAAAGAAACACGGCTCCTTCCACTCCCCCAGGACATATCAAGTGCTTATCAAACATAATTCTAAAAAAATTATCAATCTAGCTCCAAATAATTGATAAATACTTTTAGAATCCATAGCCACCATTCTATGATGTTGCGTAAAGCTTATATCAAACTATTAGGTTTTTGTGGTGACCGGACATTGGACTCAGGCGAAAGTGAAAAGAAGCCGGCACCGGTTGTCAAGGACCGACGAGGCTGTTACAAAAGACGGTCAGAACTCAGAACTAAGTTGTTTCAAATAAGTTAGAAGAGAGTAACTTATCAAAAACTCCTTAATACTTGTGCCAAACCGGTGTTAACCTGTGCCAAACAGGTATTAAATATTTCTTTTTTTTCCATCCAAACACAAAAAACTCCTTCTTGGTAAAACACCCGAATAAGTTAATAAGCAATTAAATAAGCAATCCCAAACACCCCCTAAAAGAAAATATGATTTGAGATAAAGACTTGATGAAGATAATTTGTGTACTCCCTTGGCTGAATGTGCAGAAAGCAAAGGGGAACGTTACATATGCAAATTTGCTGAGCATTTTCTAATAATAACCATGCTAGACTCTATAACACATATTATAAATGGATATCAAACAGCCAATGTGAATCTTCAATTTTGGAAGAAAGGGTGCGAACTCATAAAACCATAAAGAAAAGCCAAATGCGCTCCAATGAACAAATTCAATCAAAGAATTGTAATGGGTACCTGATAACGCAACAAGAAGACGAGTTTCTTCAACGCCCTCGCACCATGCCATTGCCTCTAATTAGGGGAAACGGAGAACTAGGGTTATATGGCCTTGTTTTGTCAAAAATAGGATGGAGTAAAGTGAAGAAGTCAGCGGGGTTTCAGCATTTGCTCCAAAACTACGCGCCAAAACTTGACGTTTGATTGCTTTTTCCCTTTGCATCCTTGTATTTGGTAACCAATGAAAATAGTGAGGAATTAAAGAATTAAAGATAGGGGTCGTTTACCGTAAACGAGATCAAGAAACTTATTTGGTAAGAACGAAACAAAGATCAAGAGTCTTACCCGGTAAGTGAGGCCAACGACTCTTACCACAATAAGTGTTTATCGGATAAATTGTTACATATGATGTCGTTTTGATGGACTAACATGTTACCCGATAAGTAAAGGATAGTGTTAAATTTTGTCGGTAAACGCTTACCAAGTAAGTATTTGGTAAAAGGCACCATAGTTCATTTGGGCAAAATATATCTATACTCCCTACCTTATAAAGTAAATTTACAAGCATAATATACTATTGTTTTATGCATAATTCTTTAAGATCTCTTAATTATAAGTTATTAGACATAAGGTACAACTTAGTGTTGCACACACTTTATATTTACGTATTTAATGTTCCAGATGCTTTTGATGAGTGCCTGAATCGTGGTGCCATTTATGTTTCAAGACGACGGTTGAAGGTCTCGAGGTGCTTGCATCCAGATAAGAGCGCCTGCAAACTCTTGAGGTGTCTTCAACTGTGTTTCTCTTCTAAACCTATAGGGTTTCTCTTTCGAAGTTGCATTTTGCATCTTCTAATGTGTTCTCTTTAAAACTTTTGGGTTTCTCATCATAGAAGATTCGGCTTAGGTTGCATATGCTTCATCGCACCATTCAAGGTTTGTACTTACTCCACTCTTCCTATTATGTACGCTCTTGATTTCCCTTTCTCCACTTATGACTCGAATCAGAGTTCATTTGAATCTTCTTCTTTATTGATGGAAACATAATGGTGTACTTGCCATAGTTGAATGCCATCTTTCTCTTCATCCTCTTTGTTGCTTACTTATTCTTTAAAGATTGTAGCAAATTTTGTACTTGAAGATGATTAGGATGGAGTAGAAGTTGGTTTTTATGTTGAGTGTTGTTATCATGAAGGTTAAACAATTGATGTATGAAGCCATTATGCTGGCACATGAGGTTGCTCCATAACAAGGTTAGGTAGGATGACCCACATTGGCTAACTTGTTTGATGTGTATAACACCATTGTGTAGACTTTTGATAGTTTTTTTTAAAGGGGTCGTTTATCTGAATACTATAATATATTTTACCAGATAAGATTGTAGTATATTGAAACGGTATGGTATGCAACAATTACCACGTAAACGCTTATTCAGGTAAGAGTCATCACCATCACTTACCGGGTAAGATTCCCTATCCTTATCATAGCTCTTACCGGGTAAGATTTTTGCCCTTTCCATATGCATCAAGTGAGGAAAGTTACCCGATCAACACTTACCTACTTACAGGGTAAGTGTTTAGTAAACGGCTCCTAAGTTGGAACTTTATCTACTATTGTTATGTTTGTTGATTGAAATGATAAGATGCATTGATCTTAACAATTAATGTTGAGTAAATTTAAGTAATTTATATATTTTTGTAATTCATATTTGCAATGTTTTGTATTGTAATATATATATATATATATATATATATATATAGAGGTTGGTTCAAATAGAAACCAACCATATGGTGCAAACTAAGCTAACCAACCTTAACCAATCACATTCTTTCTTCTCTTTAGGTTCAAATCTAAATTATAAATTAATGATAAGGGTAATTTTGTAATTTAACCTTTTTGTAACCCTCTAATAATTAATTGGGAGTTACAAATCTTAAAAGATACCTCTAATTGATCATGATATTTTTCTAATTTCTTTATTATTTCATGTTCATGTTCTTCTTTTCAAGTTATGTTCTACATATATTGAAATTGGTTGTCTAAGTGTACAA